AAACTTTTAGACCCTCCCTCGTCCCAGTAAATTCAGTGAAAGCATAAGTGAACACTGAACGCAGATGAAGCCGATGCTGCAGTGTTTAGTGGTGAAGTGTGCTGCAAAGTGTATCAGGAATGAGGATGAGTTGATGGACTGACTGTGGCATGATGGGTGTTTCTACAGAGAAGGAGGCCAGTGTTCTCCATGGAGCATTGGCCCCTGTGCTTGCTGTGGTACCCTTTAGATTTACTTGTCTGTTGCAAGTTTCCTCCTGATCCCTCCCGGTGTGCTGGGGATAAGATTCAGGGCCTTGTATTTGTTAGGTAAGTTCTGTGCTGCTGAGAAACCTTGCCAGCCCTGGAATAGTTCTTAGGCAAGAGTGACCTGGGGAGAAATGACTTATACTAAAGACACTGGCAAATGAAAGATTCTTTTCATAACAAGTTCAAATTTTGCTCTTTTTAATTATGGGAAATAATCTTGTCATGGAGAGATCTTCCAGCTGAGTTAAGGAAATAGGACCTATTTTTGTTTGTTTTTAATAACTTTCAGATAAGGACATTTATTAGACAAGAATTGGACAGATATTGATTCACAACTGACTTCATGATATTAAAAATGAAGTCAATATCACTAAAGTTGATAAGCATCTCTCTGTATACATCGAAGGCAGGGGTCATGGTTCAGCTTTTTCTTCCAGGACCCAGCCATGTGTGAAAGGAAAGAACCTCAGACTCCTCAGCCCGACGGCAAAGATGGTGCCGAGAGATTGCTGTAACAGCAAGCATCTTAGGGCGCTGGAGAAACCACGGTCTCCTGATGAATATGAGCTCACTGCAGAGAGAAGGTAGATCTAAATGGCACCTTTGTTTCTTTGCAGAAGCACTTCAGAGAGCTCCCCCTTCCTTTTCTTTGGTCCATTAAAATGTAAACAGAGAAAGGCAGCCTCTGTTTGGGGGACCTCTACAATGTAGTCATCCATAGGCAGATCAAATTCTGTAACCCCCCACCCTAACCACATTCCTATAGCCTTGGAGAAAACATCCCAAGTTTTATAGGTACAAATTCAATGCTTAGAGGGCAAGCAGTGACAAGCGCAGTCTGATGATGGGCCTTGTGGCTTCCTAGCCCTGGCTACAGGGGGAGTCTCAGTCCTACCCAGGTGGCCCACATAAGTCAGATTTATTGTCTTGTCTTATTCTCTTACTTGCTTGTCACAAAATAATTATACACAATGTGATGTTTCTATGCATGCATACATTGTATTAAGGAGAAATCATTCATTGCTTTAAATGTTTATCAGTTCTTGGTGATGAGAACATTAGATATCATTTTATATGTATATGATAGATATAGTTAGGTACAGGTATAGGTATATATCATATATGTATGTCAGCTTTTTAAGGGCATAATACAACTTGTATGTTTATGTAAACATTTTTAATGTGGAATAAGTTCCACCACTTTTGAAAACTGTTTCATGAGACAAACAAAACACCTTTCTTGGCACATTGAAGTCTTTGGGGGCCCTGTGTGACCTCTCACATATGTAATTAGGACAAAACTGTAAACTCTTGTAGTGACAACATCCAATAGGATTCAACTTTGATTTTGTGTTCACATTCATGGTCCTGTTTCTCCTTTGTAGCAGAGGGAAATGACTTTGCTCACACTCCTATCACTTTTTCTTATTTATTTTTCAATTTTGAGACATGGGCTCACCGTATAACCCTGGATGGCCTGGAACTCACTCTGTGTATCAAGCTGGCCTCTAAGTCACAGAGATGTGCCGGCCACTGCCTCCTGAGTCCTGGGATTAAAGGTCTGCCCCAGCAAGCCCTCTTCCTTTAAATAGGAAACAAATATCTGGCCATTGAAACTATTGCAAAATTCATACAGTTCACATCTTGAAAGTTTGCTTCGGACTGGGGGTAAGGCTCAGTGGTCAGTGCATGTTTAACATGAATATTGCCATGGGCTTCTTCCTCAGCACCCACAGAAGTCCATGTTGTGTCATGAGTATTTTGTACTCTTTTGAAAGGTTAATTGGCAGAATTATATTATCCATGGAGCCCGCTTTTATTTGTACTTAATGATCCCAGAATGTGTGTGTTTGGAACCAAGGACAGACTTTCCTACAGGACAATAGCTAGCATTTACGGGTGCCACCTCTCCTTCGCTTCCACTCCAGGCAGACTTCCATTTAGCATCTTTAGTTCTTGAATGCTGCTCTGTACGGATGAGAGAACAGGCTCAGAACCAGAACACATCTTGCCAAAGTAGTGGATGTTAGAGCCAAGAATCAAACACGTGTGGGGGGCAGGCTCCAAGGCATACTGCTCTTTAATTCTTCAACACTGTGGAGTTTATAATTCAATGTCTACATGCTGCTAAGGCCCCCAGGATGGGCTACAAACACGACTGTGTCCGTACTAAACGGCAGGACTATATTCCTAGTAGTGATCGTCTAACAAGCCCTGCCCTGTATGGTTATATATCTTAAAAACAAAACAACAACAAAAAAACCTTCCTGAATTTCCTGTAGGAAAAATAAGCTTAATTCCCCACGTGATGTACAGACACATTTTTAGTAAGACATACCCAACACATCCAAGCAGCACGGTAGACATGGAAGCAGGGGGCAAATGCTTCCAGCTTCTTCCCCTTTTCTTAGTTCTGTTCATCTTTCTGTCCTTGGTTCCACACTGTTTGGCTTGTTTCTCTTAGAGGTTTGTTTTTAAAAAACAAAAACACATCTATACACATTATATAAAATGCCCTTAGCTATGTCCCATTGTAAATGAGTTCCCAATTCCACCCGGAGATGTCAACAGGCTTTGGCTGCACTCTTACAACATCCCAGAAGTTGTGGACCTATTTGAAACCTACCACAGGGCTATTATTATGTAGAAAGAAAACTGAAGCTGGGGCAAAGTTCATGACCGGGGTGGGATGGTCTGAGCGATGGGGAAGCAGAGGAAGGCAGGAGATCATGAGAGTGCGCTCAAGTGAGAGACAGAGTAATGTGGCTGGAGAAACTTAAAATGTCCTGGTGGGGGGTGGGGTGGGAACTGACGATCCACTACAGTTGGATTCCTAGGACTGAGCCCAGGTATCAGTATTGTTTAATAGCTCTCTGAGTGATTCTAGTGTGAGCTATAGAACCAGGACATGCTGGAGTCCAGCTGGATCTGGGCTCAGGTCCCAGCCCTGCCAGGTAAGTAGCTACATGCTCTTTGGAAAGTTACTCAATGTTCCTATGCCTCATCTGTAAAATGGGGATGTAACTCTTAGCTCTTTGTAGGATTGCTGTGAGGCTGACCCACATTAATGGGATTATCCTGGGCACAGTGAGCGCAGTTTAAGTGTTGTTTCCCTCCTCCTTTGTTTTCTGCCCCTTGGAGTCTAGTAAAGAGTATGGTTTCTCAGCTCCTGGCTCTTAGCTTTTGATGAGAAGGGGCAGGATTCTTCTGCAAAGGGCTCAGTCTCTGTGAGCTTTGCCTGCCCTCCAAAAGCCTCCGGATGAACCTGGACACAGCGCTTTTGGTGCAGATGCAGAAGGATCTGCATCTGGGCAGATGGGAGAGCAAACAGCCTTCTCTCTAGGTGGTTAGCAGGAGAGGGAGGCTGCATCCAAGTCTGGAAGATACTTTTAAGAGGCTCTCCTGTCCCTACTTTCTCTAAGGTGCCCTCTTACCATGCACATGGTCTCTGCATTATCTGGGGCCTTCTATATCCAGTCATTTCCCTTTTGTGCTCTCTCCTTTAGACAATAAATCTTTTCAGAGGCAGGGCTATACTTCCTTGGAGAGGTATCAGTGAGACGAGGAGAAGTTGAATGAGTGCTCTTCTTTGTGCTTTTCTGACCAAGGTTAGCACCATCACAGAGGTTGATGTGGTAGGGACAGAGGCTGGTCCTATAGGCATTGAGCTTCCCGAGCATAAAAGTACTATTTTTATAGGAAAGATTTCAATTTTTTCAAGCCTACAAGGGCAGGTGGATGGGAAACTTTTAATTAAACTCTTCAATTACAAAACAGTCATTGCAAGACTTTATACAAGTTGTATGCTATAAAGTTAATAATTTGAATAGTCTTATATCAATATTATTCCTGGGTTTTGCTTGTTTTTCTGTTTTGTTCTTTTTTTTTTTTTTTTTTTTTTGGTTTTTCGAGACAGGGTTTCTCTGTGTAGTCCTGGCTGTCCTGGAACTCACTCTGTAGACCAGGCTGGCCTCGAACTCAGAAATCCGCCTGCCTCTGCCTCCCAAGTGCTGGGATTAAAGGCGTGCGCCACCACCGCCCGGCTGTTTTGTTCTTGTCATTTCACTTTGTTTGCCTTTTGCATGTCCATTTGTTTTAGATGACCCCCCTCTCTTGAAGTTTAGAATGAGATCCTAAAAACTAAAGATCGTTGGATCTAACACTCATAACATAAGACCTTTTGTTAGCCAATGAAGCTAACAAAAAGTAACACGATAGCAACCGCTAAGTCTGTAACAATGAGGGGCATCACTTTAGGAGCATTAGTCTTAGTCCTAAATATAGAGAGATGATCATCCTGACCAGGACACAGCAGCATGGGTTGATATAATCTCAAGACTTGAGGTGCTGAGACAGGAAGGTTCTGAATTTGAGGCTGGCCTGGGCTATATAACCAACCCGTCAAAAAACAAAACATGGGAGAAAGAGAGGAAAGGACAGAAGAAAAGAAAAATGGGGGAGGGGAGAAATGGAAGAAAGACAAAGGAGAGAGAGGGAAGGAGGGAGAGAGGGAGGGAGGGAGTGAGAGAGGGAGGGGGTGCTGCATTCCAGACGTGTCAGAAGTGAGAAACACACAGATGCTGGAAGTCCTCTAGGTTTGCTTTTTTCTGGCTGAGTTCATTCATCACTGCTAAAACAGGGACTCCAGGATTTTAAGTCTTACAAGCTTGAATAAAAGTAGCCCTAAAAATAAAAATAAAAAATTCTAGAGAAATATGGCCATGGGGTGAGGTTATAATAACTGTTACTTACATAAATAGATCATTTTATTGGGCTGGTTAATGATTCCCATGTGTCGTTCAGAAATGCTCTGTCATCTTCAATGACGGCCACCTCAGCAATTAAAGAAGAGAAAGTGACGAACTCAAGGCTTCTTCATCAATGAGCTCAGCCAATAAGCCAATAGAGGGCTCGGCGGCCATTACTGACCCTCCCCGGAAAGCTTCCAGCGTGAAGACTGAAGAAGCATGGCGCAGACACACAGCAGTATAATTCAAGTGACTAAAATAAACTCAGAGAGCTCGCCTCATCTCTAAACACTGCATACATTTAGGTGCTATTTTGACAAGAGAGCATGGTGGCTTTTTAAGAATTTAATTTTTCAAACTCTGGTACAATACTGTTCTTCCAACAGCATCACCCCGTGTCTGTGTTGGCTTCCCGTGAGATCATTATTAAGAGAATTGAATTATTGTTCTGTTCAAATGACCTGTGCATTCAACAGTGTGTGCTGGGCTCCAGAAAGAAGTGTTTTATGTATTATTGGGAGATGGCCATCTGTGGCACAAAGCAGGCCTCCCAACATGCAGAAATGCTACGAGATAGTTTATGTTCGGTTTTATCTATGATCTGAATTCCATTTATAAGCTTTTTTCAGCCACTTGTCAACACTGTTCACTATAGCAACACTGAAAATGGCCAGGAACGAACAGATTTATCAAAGCTCTGTGAGGTTGGACTGTATGTTTCAATTATTGTATATTGGATTTTTATCATACATTTTAAATTTTGTCCATAAAAATAGTAACAATGTCATAAAAATGGAAGTAGTTTTCTTTGATCAACTTCCAATTATTATAAGTCACAAAATGAACAAGCTAGATTTCGTGACTTTTATTAGATAATGGGTCTCACATTATATATGTATATTTTAAATATAACATTATCTGTCGATGCCAAGAAATGTGGATTAATTTTTTTCAAGTCTGAAAAACATTCCTCTTCTCTTTCCTGCATATGTAATGGAACAGCATGGCAGTGTGTAAAATTAAATTTTAAAATTGTAGAATATATTTAAACCATAGCCTCCCAACCTTTCTCTATCTTTTTAAAAGTAAACTTTTGATAATGCTAGGTGCATGTTGAACCAAATACATGTTTTTATATAAAGCAAATATACCCAGTTATCTCTATCAGAGAATTAAAAGGCTTTCAGAGATCCTTTGCTTGGTAGTTTTATTGTTTTGCTGATGCCTCGGTTAACATTAAGTATCTCTTCTGTAATGAAATATTAAATTTTCAAGTGGAATACACTGTTTACAAGTAAGATTTCTTCCAACCTCCTTCCCTCTGTCCTTTCTATTGTACAAAATCAAGTCTATGCTGAACACATGGCTTTAGAACTCAAATTAATGTAGATTTTGATTTCATTTGTGGGAGGGACACTTGTTAGAAAAGATTGACTTTTATCAACAGACAGATGGGGAGGTTAGTGACCTTCACAGAAGTGTCCCTGCACTCATCTTGTTCAAAGAAGGGGGGTGGGATAGTAGTGGCATTCCTTAGCAATGACTGGGCTGCAAACCTTTTGTCTGAGGCTCCTCTAAGTGCTCCGAGGGCACTGTGTCACTTGCTTGTTATAGCAGCCCTGTGAAGGCAGGCAACTTCATCTTTGAATGGAGAAGCAGAACCTCCAGAACCAGAGGTCTGCCCAAAGTCACTTGCTAAGACTTTCTTTAGATCCATGAGAACTCCTGATATTGGAAAACGTGGAACAGGTAGAAATCCTTCTAGAGAGTTTGGGCAGGAAGTCAGGCCACACACGGAAGCCCCAGCCATACACGGCTGTGGCAAGCACTGCTTCTGAGCTAAAAACCACCCAACTAGGTGGTACTACTTTTCCTAAAACTGGCTGTGATCCAGAACAACTCAAGTCTCTGTATCTTCTCCTACCCAGTGCATTCTGGTGTATTTAACTTCTTTGGGTAGAAATAGTTTCATGCCGCTGTTTGATAATTCACCCAATGACATGGTTCCTGTTGTTTTGAGACTCATATCTGCAATATAAACAATGGAGTGTCTCCATCCTGACTTCCGGGTTTTTGCTGTTGTGTTTTTGGGGGATCCCCAATAGAACTGAACTTAGGGTCTCACCCAAAGAGGTTATCTGGCAACCCACAGTGGTCAGAAACAGAGGGCTCTGTACAGTGTGGACCACACTACACTTAGAAATCTGGGGTTCGGACAAGAGCATTTGGGAAGCGTTCATAGGGCAGAAGTGGGTGGAGAAGAGGAGTTCCACTCCAGGATGCAGGGTTCATGATGGTATAGAGCCCCTGAGAAGGAGGCCTGAGGATCTCCTGGCCAGCTTAGGGCTCATTTTGTTTTGTTTTGCTTAGCTTTCATCATACGCGTCTCTGTACTTTTTCTTAGAGTAACTTTAGTGTGACCCGGACCTTGTGCTGCATTAAGAGCCTGACAGTGCTTACAGGGTCATTCAATAAACACAGCTTCCCATGGTTTCTCTCTCCCTGTTGCCTCCACTATCCTTGGTGTATTTGATCATATTGGGGATAGTGCTTAGGAATCTTTCCTTTACTAGTGACAGAAATTCAACTAAAAACTTAAGGAAAAAAGGAGGGTGGGTGGGGCTGCACACCGTGGTGAGAGAGGAGATACAATAGAAAGACACTGACAGAGGCCACAGAGCTGAAGAGATCCTCACATAACCAGAATAGTTCCAAGTCTTTTTCACGAGGAAGATGTGGCTGGCAGCAGCTCCTAAACATTCTGATCACTCTGTAGTCAGAAGCAAGGGAGAACTACCGTCTAAGAAAAGTTAGAAATGTCCTGAAGTAGAACTCTGATTGGCTAGGCTTTGGTCATGTGCCAATGGGGTATTTGTCAAGGGAATAAGGTCACTTCCTTACCCCTGTGCCCCAGGAGCACATGCTAAGATCCTAACCTCATCTTGGATGGGGAAAGTGGTACCCTAAAGTAAAGCAATATTTCAAGCAGACAATAAAATAAAAGCTACACACGTGACAGAAGGTAAAGTTGTACAACTCTGTCATTTACAAAGAAGTAAATCAGCAAATGGGGCTCTGGGTGTCTCATTTTCCAGGGTCCTAGGAGGTGTGGCTCTCTTCCACAATGCCTGCTTCCTCTCAGATCCTTGGATGGTCACAGGACATTAGAATTAGAATCCTTTGCCTCAGGCCTGTTAGTCACTTCCGTCTGCAAGCCAACACGATCACTGCCCCAGCAGCTTAAAATAGCTCAAAGACTAGAAAGCTACATCAGAGCCTTTCTTGCCTTTATAATGAGAACTCTTACTTTGTGATCCCTAGACCAGCAGTATGACCGACACTTGCAGATTTGTTAGACGTGTAAGTTATTAGCCCTTATCCCAAACGTGCTAAAACGGGAAGGTAGGGGTGGAGCCTATCAAAACTGTCAAGGGAAGCTAAGGAAGACAGGAGGGAGGAAAAGAAGCAATGGGGCAGGGGTCCATGGGAGGAGGGGGGGGAGGCAGGGAGGGAGGGAGAGAGAGGGAGAGGGAGAGAGAGAGAGAGAGAGAGAGAGAGAGAGAGAGAGAGAGCATGTCTGATGTACACTAGATCCTTTAAGCCTCTTTCTCACACTTTTTCAACAGTCTCTGTTTAGATGGCTTCTCTGAAGCATATTTAAATGAAGAGTGTTGGCCAGACACCACTACCTGTCTTTCAGCTGGCCTCTTGCAGGTTGCTATCCTTCCACTGTTACCTGGACCACTCACACAGACATTGGGTAGAACTGGAAGGGCAAAAGGGGAGCGGGTAAGCCTATGCTGTAGGTTTCTCTCATTAGATTAACTCATAGCACTCTGTTACTATAACAAGTGTAGCAGCCAGTTAGATGATCCCATAGGTTTCCTCCATTAAACATAATTTCTGGCCGTGTCTTTGAGAGTGTTTACACGACATCAGCAGGTTGACTCAGAAGACTAGGTTGTCCTCAGTATGAATGGATACCAGCTGATCTATTGAGGACCTGAATGGGTTCAAAGGTAGAAGAAAAGGGATTCCCACAGTTTGCCTTCTGCTTGCTTATGTGTCTCAGCATGGGTCTTCTCCTGGACTAGAATTGAGCTGGCTTCATACATGCAGATCTGGGTCTCCAGTTTGCAGCAGCAGATGATGAAACTTCTCGACCTCCATATTTGTGGAAAACAATTCTTCATAAGTCTCCTTATCCAAAGTTACCTGATCTATGCCTTTTGATCCACCTAGCATTTGCCTGTATCTCGTATTGATTCTGTTTACCTGGAGTGGAGCTGCCTAATTTGACGAGAATGTGTACTTTCACATATAGGCATAAAAACACACGCTGAAATATATGTGTCACCTTGATATAGAATCACCTAGAAGACACATCCCTGAGCACCCTTGTGAGGCTGTTTCCAGGGAGGTTTCACTTCAGAGGGAGGATCCCACTTGAATTTGGGTGTCACTTTCCCATGGACTTGACTCCAGGATTGAATTAAAAGGGTACAGAGAGAAAGCAAGTTGAGTGCCAGTGTGTAGCTCTGTTCTTAACTGCTGGCACAGTCTGAGCATCTGTGTCCCACTGCAGTGCCCTGGCTTCCTTAACAATGGTCTGTGTCATCAAACAGACTCAAAATCAGCCTCCCCGCCCCCTTTTTTCTTTCTTGAGAAACAAGAAAAGCAGTAGCTCATCCACGGACACCTCTTTGTGTAAGCTCACTCCCTTCCTGTGGCCCCAGGGACCTCAGCAGTGACTCTTGGAGGAAACTTGTCTTCCCTACATACCCAATGGGACTTGAAGAAACCTCAGGAGGTTAGAGAGGAAAATTGCACCTCAAGTGCTTTCTTGCTTTGTTTTCCTTTCTGCAGAGTTAGAAATCTGAGATCATGTTTTTTCCACACAGAGTATGTTACAGAAGTATCTCATACACAAAGCCGTGCGTGCACTAGGTATGAATGAACACCTAGTGCCCGGTCACCTAGGCTCCAAACACTCCTGGCTGGTTCTGACCCACTCTTCACAAATACTTATTTTCTCTACAAATCTGAAAGCCCTTAAGATTAAGGTGAGCCTCTTACCAAAACCAAGTATGTTTAGTTTTCAAAAGCGTTATAGCATGAACTCATCCAATATATGTAATATAGATGTATGTTTCAGTACTGTAAAATTATTCAAAAGCCCCAGATCATACAGTTTTATCCCATTCATCTTGT